TGAAAAAATACACATATTACTATTTTATAATTAAGCCATCCCAAGTTACTCTAAGAGGGCTATTTGTGACAAAGTCAGTTTCTTGTAGAACTGGAGCTTCAGTTGGTATATACAAACACACTAAGTAGACAAAATATTTGTTAAAAATATTAAAGGTTAATAAACCATGTTTTAGCTGCATTACCTTAAACCCTCCAAAATTTTGAGCCTGAAAAACTATCTATAATTGCCAAATTTCTTCTTAGACAATATGAAAATACATCAAAGTTTTAGTTTTTTGGGGGATCCAAACAAGGAGTCTTTGGCCAAAAGACAAAAAAACACAACAAAAAAACACAACAAAAATGGGGGGCAAAGGCAAGCAATGGCTTACCTTGTGTTAGGAAAAGAGAGAACATTAAAACAAGGGACCTCTGAAAAAAAAACAAACCAAAACCAACAGCCACAACTTGGTTTAACCTCTTGCTCAAAGCAGTGCTAACTTTGATCAAGCCACAAATAATAATTTGCTTCAGGCCTAGCTTTAAAATTTAAAATATAGGAATAGAATTACCAAAACATCTAAATATTTATCTTCATAACCTTGTACCAGTGATCCTATCATAGCTCACCATGATGAAATAACAAAGCTTATCTCAGATGTCTATAATTCTAAAACAAGAGCAACAGAGAAGGAAAAAAAGAGGGGAAAAAAGAAGAAAAAAGTCCTCTATGTGCAGCAATGTAGTTTTCTTTCTCCAAATCTTCTCTATTCCCAACTATTCTCAATAATATAGATACAACATTACAAACAAGGCATATGTGACTGCTGTGAACTCAGGGCAGTGTTAGGTAATAAATGAAGTCACTTCAAGGAGTGAGAAGTTAAGGTTTAAAGTTAGTATTTGGAACATGGAATTGAGGCAGGCAAAGTGGTCAGAAAGGACACCACAGAAGTCATTGTTAGCAGGGTCCTTAGGAGGCAGAACAACTAGAGCAAGAGCACCTCAGAATAACAGCTCCTTACAATCAACTGACTCAATACTTTACATCTTGCTAGAAGATTAGTATTCTGTATTACCCAACACACCAAGGCACTGTAATTGCTGTATATGCAGCCTTTTCACAACCATCATACTAAATTTACAGTTCAATGCAATTGTGCTGGGTAGGGCCTGGTAGCAGGCCCTGGTAGCAGAGATTAAAGAAGAGATCACACTTATCTTCTATCATCAATACTCTCAGTGAAGCCTCAAGACCCAGTTCAGGCTGCTGAATGACAGAAGACTACCCAGCTATAACTCATTTTCTGAGGGGGAAAGGAAGAGCAAAGAGCATGGGACTAACCAGAGGAATGCATGTGTCAGGGCCCACATGCATACATCTTCCCAAGCAAGAATACGAAGAGAGCTGGGCCAATCACTGCATTAACACCAATCTGCTTAAAGACCTTTGAGGGTGAAGCAAAAAATGACTTCAATGTCAAAACCATTCGACGGTTTCATCATCCCTTTAGACCACAACCCAGCATTGCTATAAAAATAAACAAACCTAAAAAAACCTATAATAGCAGTAAATGGTTTCATATCTCACTTCTGAATACAAGACCGATATTGCCCTCCTAAACCACACACCCTGGTCTTCTCCTGCTGAGAATCAGCTCTTGGGTTGCAGGAAGTCCAGGACACAGAGGGATCCTGACATACTTTTAATGCAAGAGTTGGAACTGAGTACTACTTTTCTTTTGCTTCAAGAGGCCTTTATAACATGGGATAACAGTTGGTACTTGAGTATCCACCAAGGAAAGTCAAGCCCGTTTTCTTGCAGCAGCGAAGAGCAGAAGCACCTTGCATCCAAATCCCTTACCCAGGAACAGAGAAGAAACAGAAGAGCATGCTTTTCTAAAAAGGACACCTGAACATTACACTTCTTACTTCTTCCAAAAGGAAATCCAAATGAAATTTTGGATAATTGTGATAAAAACACCCACTCTGGGCTGACAGAAAGAAGTGTTGGGCAGCACCAGGCAGCTTTACTCTGCAAGAGTAATAGTCCTCTCTACAAAAAACCCACGGCATCAGTGTAAAGACCCTCTGCAGTACAGATAATCAGCTAGCAAGGTCAGCAACAGCTAAAACCACATCCCAGAAGCCACAAAGCCAATACATTTGCATCACTATTGCAGCAGAAAGGACTAACAGCACATTCTTTCAGCCATAGTTGGTTTATTATACTCTTTGGACTGGAAATTCACTATCAGAAAGTCAGTATCTCTGGTGCACTGAACAATAAGGATTTGTGTTTACATACACACTTTTTTCCCCCATCACAAACAGCTTAAACAAAAAAAAACAAAACACCTCAGCAGCTTATTAGATTTGTCAAACAAATACTCTTTTTGGGCAATTCACAGGTAGTCAGATATCTTGAAGTCCACATGAGAAGAACCAAATATTGCTCTCAATAACTGAGCTGAACCTCAAGGAGGACTTAGTTGTATTCAGACATCTCCAGTTACATCCTTTCATAGACATTTGGGTGCATTGTTCATGCATCCAAAAAGGAACACATACAAGTCCAGACACTGGTTAGTATATATCAGCTTTGATTTCTACAGTACTGGTAACTGTTTTTGGCCCTACTTAAACACTTAGGGGGGAAAAAAGTAATCTATTGCACACACACTTTCTTCTTTCTTATATGAATTATAATGAACCTGTAAATTATCTTCTTGTTCAGAGATTGTCCCAAGCCATTAAATAGTAACAACGTATTAAATACAGAAGCAACATCCTTCCATACAATAATCCGGATGGGTTATCTGGAAATCTACATGTCATGGTCTGTAACTCTGACAGAGCTGCAAGTCATACACTCAGATGGTTTTTGTAGTAGTATCAGTGATAGGAAGAAAGTGAACTGCATTTTCATATGCCCTAGTGGCATTTACATTTAGTTTTTCAGCCAAGAACTAAAGCAGCTGTAGTAATAAGCAAATGCAGTTGCTTCTCAACCATCCCTCCTACAAGGCTAATTTAAGAACCTAAAGGGTCAGCATCCAGATAACCTCAACATTTAGCTCTTCAGAAACTGTAATAAAAAGCTGCACAACTTTGAAAGGCATAACATATTGCAATTGGAGAATTCAAGACCTTATGTCAAGCCATAATACAGAACAGGAATTTGAATTAAGTATTATTAGTTATTACTGAAATAAATTCTAATGTGTCCATGTTCTTGGCAGTATGATGTAAAAATGGAAACACTTCAAAGTAACACCTCGTTTTTATACTCCTCTTCGAGTTGGATATACTCCTGGATTTCAAGAAATTCTGTTTGCTTGGTGGTACAGGCTGGTGTCCTTGTATAAAAACCAAATATTTCCTCCCCATAAAATCATATTAAGCAAGCCAAATACCTGCAGGTCAAGAAAAAAACAACAACAAAAACACCAAACAAAAACAAACCAACAGGTAAGATTGAGTTTTAGATTTAGTTTTTTGGGTTTGGGTTTTTTTGTTTGTTTTTAAGCCAGAATAAGACTTCAAGGCAAGCTAGAAACAACAACTATCTTTGGCATCCCTCTGATTCAGACAAGACATTTCCACACACTTTAGACTATTACAAGGTTTTTTAACAGAATTCTTTGGAAATCAGATAATCAACTTACTCTATCCTGTGCATGGAATTAGACTAATAATTTTCAGCCAGTCAGCACCTCAGCATATGCACATCCAGAGCACATGATTCATTTTTACTGGGCCAATGAGTAACAGCCAGAGTTTTGAAAAGCAAGATTCACCAGAAAGATCTTACAATAAGCCTCATTTGCCCTGCTGTGAGGAGCTCTTTCTATGAACATGAGCTTTGCATCACTGTATTACAAAGAACATCTATTTGACATGTAAAAATGCTCAGAGTTGACTAAAAAGCCAAGTTCAGCACCAAAAGGCTGAGCAGGAAGTGTAGTTCCCACCTTGTTCATGTGAGTCAGACCACTTGGGCAGCTCAGTAACATATTTAAATGTCTTCTTGGCTACAGGCAGAAGTAATACAGATACTCAAATGTGTCTGGAAATGCTGCATCTAACAGATGTAGAGACAGATCCTACAAGTTGTTTCTCTTAATTTTTTTGAAGTAGTAAGTTTCCTTCTGTTGTTTTACCACAGTATTAATGGGCCTGAACGACTGATACCCATAAGGCAATCTTAACACATAAAGCAACACATGCAATCAGCAGAACAGGGCTCTCAGGTGCCATTGGCTATTTTATAACACATTCATTGTACCCATATGGCAGCAGGCATACATACCACAGACACATTCAGAGTTCCCATGCTGGTCACAGAAGCAAAACGACAAGTTGTTCCTGGTGTTTTGCAAGATTTGATTCCTGAAACAGCACTGGCCCCCGTGGACATTTTGATGTCAGCAAGTGCCTTTGCCCAAACAAAAGTACTGACCAGCCACAGAAAGGCTATTATGACAGTGATACTCAAGTCCTACAGGAGCAAAATACTCACTATTAGGTTAAAACAAGACTTGCACGAATGTACATAAGAAAGCAAGGCAGAGACAGTATCAGTTATAACACAAATATAACTGCATTGGTGCTAATGATCACAAGCAAATTTAGCCTTTAACAATGTTGTAATTACAAAAAAAATGTTACCTGCTACAAAATCATCTTTTGCATCTATCAAACATTAGCAATGTTATCTTTTTCAATATATTAGTTTCTAAAAATTAGACACCTAGCACTTATGTTATAGATGTTTAAGACAAGGCTTAGTAAAGCGGGGATGACAGTAGGAAAAGGGCAGAGGATTTAAATCTGGATCACTAGGTCTGTTTCTGGGCATGCTCCAAAATTTCTCATTCTGAGAATCAGGGCTTTGGTATTTGAGGTAATAAAATTCAGCAGAAAACTATTTCTCTCTGCCAGTTGCATCTGCACAGCAGGTGCTTTACACAAGGAAAATTCCCAGGCACTGACAGAGGAGGACCCATTTACAGAAGAGCTGTATATTCAAATACACATCACAAATGAAAAGTTGTGGTGAAAACATCTACCCAAGAAGGTAGAACTTTATTTCACTCTGCTTCAATAACTGCATTATGTACAATAGCATGGATGTTCAAGGGCTTTGGGTCCCCTTTTCTGCTTGAGTGCTGAAGTGACTAGTCTGACATACTTGTGTTTGTGCTCCATCTAACTTTTCAAGCCATTGAATATTCATAATATGTTCAGATATTCTTGTATTTGCAGTAATTCTGATCTCTTCAGGGTTTCAAAGGCAAAACATGAAAACATCTCAGTGTTACTCACAGTTAGTAGGAGCTTGCTGTTTTGCTGATAAATATGCTTATATCCAATATACAGCACGAGGGCAGCAATGCAGTAGAGGAACACCAACACCGCAAATGCAACAAAGAACTGTGCAGAAGAGGAGAAGTCGCCCGCAAGAGAGATGTTAGTCCAAGTGCCACCACAGTGTTTTGGGTCTGGTGCATTAAATACAACAGTATCCAACCTGCAAAGATTATATCCTTCATGTAGTTAGTCTGCTGTACAGTGGAAACTTCATATAGCCATGCTTCACAATAACACACAACCAGAATGCTGAAGCGCGAAACTTCATATAGCCATGCTTCACAATAACAGCGCTTCAGCATTCTGGTTGTGTAAGTTTACCCTAAAGGACATTTTCTATTTTGTATAATCTATCAGTTATACAAAGCAAAGACTTGTCAAGACAACTGGAGATTTTTTTTTTCCCCCCATCCTACACTGAGATGTGCAAGAGCAGCTTCAGGAGAAGAAATTTATCTATAGAGAAACTGAAGAAAGAAAACCCCACTCGGAAGCAGACTTTACATTATTTTAGAGACTGGCAGTTAAATGTGGGAATCAGGACTTAAAAGGCAATGAGTTGCACTACAGCTATGAGAAAATGCAAGCTCAAGAAAGTTAATAAAACCTGCAGCCATTCAGTTGCTGAATCATTTTGGATTCCCACTCTCCCATCCAAGTGTTGTTACAATGCTGGGTTTTGCAACCACATTCTATACTTCAGTAGTAGTTTTTACTAGCTGGCCCCTGAATCCATTTCTATACTTACACCTATGCTTATTCAACCCATATGGAACACAGACTCTGCACTTGTAATTGTGCAGCTGTGAGAACAAAGAGGAAGCCTTGCTCCTTGTGCTCCAGCAAAGGAGTGTGTCTCCACAAGAGGACTATGATGATAGTGGAGGATCTAGTCTTAATGTACTAAACACCCTCACACTAAGATCACAGTGGAATAAGTTGAAAAGTATTTGCCATTCAGTCTTTAAAAAAAGCTACTATAATGGCACATCCAAAATAATCTTAACCAGGCCCCCACAGCAACTACTAATTAATGAAGAAATAATCTGTTAAAAGTAGTTGTATTATTTTGCTTATTAACGACCTTCTGTAGCACTGATGCAATGCTGGAGTAGAGCTTAAGGCAGAGTAATACAAAACAGTAGTACAGCCTATTGCCCTTTCAACCTGCTTCCTTCTATAGGGCACTGACAACCACAATGCTTTGGGCAACTACAATTAAAGATTTATTTATTTATCGCTACTACAGAGTGACCCAGAGGTGTCAGATGTTCATTCAGATACAGACAGTAAATACATATTCACAAAGAGACGTATGGTGAAAAGTGTCAATAATACATAATTGGTTTACAAGCGACAAGTGAAGAGCTAATACTCACCTGAATGGATAAGCAAAAGCAGCTGTAACAGTTTTGTTTACCACACCTTTGCAGGAAACCAGAAAGGTAGTTACACCTTGAAAGCCTCCACACATGGCAAAAGCAAAGATGGAAGAAAGCTATAGGAAGTGATACATAGACATATTAATGCATGCCACTGGAGCTCAAAGGCAATGAACACAACATTCAGCTGAAACAGCTAATAAGGGCAAGAAACACAGACTAAGTTTGCAATAGTAAAGCATGAAGTGATGTCAAGAGCTAATAAAAATGTTGAGTTTCTGTAATTCAAAAAACCACAAGCAACACCACTAACAAAAGCCCATTTGAAAGTTCCTTTTGTCTGCGTTTTTCTTAGGTCTACAGCAAAAGGTGGGGTTTTTTTGTTTGTTTTGGTTATTTTGTTCTGGGTTTGGGTTTTTTTTTGGTGTGTGGTTTTCGTTTTTTTTTTTGTTTTTTCGTGTTTTTTTTTTTAATGCTAAAAGCCAGAACAGTACCTCTTACAGTTAGTAAGGAAAGTATTTTTAGGAATCTCAGCCACCTAAAGCTGTAGAGTGGCTAGAAGGTACATGCTCAGAGCATTGCACATCAACTTGACACTCTAAGTAGCTCATTTTCACTTGGCTTTGTTCACTAGCAAACTCCTAAACCCCCAATAATCAGAATACACAGCAGCACAAGTTTTTATGACAAACTAATAATTAACAGATGGATTTTGTGTATCTGCAGAACGATGTTCACCCTTCCCTATTAGAGGGCTTGGCTGGAGAGCAGCCTCACATTGAGCACCAACTACCAGCGACACGAGGCAGCAAGCAGCCCCCTGTGAGCCCACCACTCCTTCAGATCCACCCAGGTAAGACACAGGAACAAAACCAGTTCTGAGAAAGGCAAAAAAAAACAGCCCCAAGAAAAGAATGAGGCTTCACTTTGTGCTTCCCCAACCCCACTCACCAACTCGAGAACCTTAACAAAGCCCACAGGCTCTAGGAGCAAGCCGCAGTCCACCCTCAGACCAGCCATCCTGGGAAACACCAGGGGAAGCAGCAGAGCCCCAGAGCAGCCCAGGCACAGCTGCAGCCCTGCACAGGCACCTCCCTATAGCACCCAGCCCTGGGCCCCTCCCTGCCACACCCACACCTCCTCACCTGGGGCTGGGCACACCCACAGATCCTAAAATCATAGAGTCACAGGATGTGTGATGTTGGGAGGGATCTGCGGTGCACAGGGGCCTTTTTCACTAGCTCAGGTTGTCTTGTCAAGCCTGACCTTCAATGTTTCCAAGGATGGGGCCTCTACCAGCTCTCTAGGCAACCTGTTCCAGCACTTCACCCTCTTTGTAAGGGCTTCTTCATGATATCCAACCTGCATCCACCCTGCTCTAGTTTAAGGCCATCACAGCTACCTCACACTGGGGCTCTTCAGCCCCAAATTGGGGGCCAGGGGAGGTGGTCCCAGTGGGAGGGGAGAGCCCAGCAGTGTGGGGTGAGTGCCACTGCCATGGGGAACCTTGTCTATGGAAACAGTGCAGCAACCAGCACAGGAGGGGAGAGCTTTGGCTGTTTTGTGGGGTGAGGCAGCAGTGACATCCTTCCCTCCCTCCCGGAGGCTGGAGAGGCTGTGATTTCCTGAAGCTGGAAGGTGCTGCAGCAGCAAAGGCTGTGAGTGCTGCGGTGCCAGGGCACATGTCCTTGTGGCCAAGCCTTGCAGGACGGTGGCAGGTGGCAGGCACAGGACAGACCACTTGGAGGACCATCTGTGCTGCACCTTCATCTTGGGCTCAGTGATTTTATTAGCAAACAAGGCAGAGGCTCTCCACAATTCCTGTGCCATGGAAGCTTGGTGAAATCCCATGGTTTTTTTGCTTTAAATAGTTTCTGTGATTGTACTCTGTTGTGGACAAGTTGGTCTTCAGTCAGATGGAAGAGCTAAACCTTGTGCTGAATGTTGGAGGCCTGTGGGTGGGACTCTGCCCTCCTCCCCAGCTGCAGAGCACAGCTGGCAGAGGCAGCCAAGGCATTTCACAGCACCTACTGCAGCAGCTTTCTGGCCCTGCTTCCAGGTCTTCTAGAAGCTTCTGTGACTGCTGGGAGCCCTCTGAGGTACATCTGGTGCTGCCATGGGGAAGGGATAGCTATGGGAGTCTGTTGCTGCTTCTAGCAGGTTCTAGGAGCTTCTGCTAGAAGAACTAGAAGAGCTAGAAGCTAGAAGAGCTTGCTTCTTCTAGCAAGCTCTGTGAGCTGCTCCTGAACAGAGGCTACTGGTGGGGTTTTTTTCTCCCAGGTGAGCCCTGTTATGGCTGCCAGGCAGCCTTGCAGCAGCTGCTGTGGAGATGCCAGTGGAAGAGCTGGCTGGGAGTGCAGCTCCTGGGCATAGTTAGTGGGTGCAGCAATTTGCAGATGCTCAGCTGTGGGGTGTGCTGTGGGTGACTGTTCCCAGCATCATCTGGGAAGCTGCAGCCATGCAGTGCCTGGGGCCCCTTGCTGGGGCTGGGAGGTGCAAGCTCCTTGCTTGCAGGAGGTGGGCATAGGTGGAAAGTATGTGACCAGGAGCTGTGGGAGAAGGTCAGCAGCCTACACAGCATCAGAGGTGATGAGAAAAGGATGAGCTGGATCTTCTCTGAGACCCTGTAGATTCAGAAGGCTGAATCCACTGCTTTCCTGCAGGAGGGGCAGATGGAGCCTTGGGCTTCTCAGGTTGGAAATGGGGATGAAGTGTCCTGTATACCTGATATTGACAGGTGATAGGTGTGGAGGCAGGGGACAAATTTGGCTGAGTTTGCTCCCTGGCAGATGTTACTACTGTGAATCAAGTCGTGGGAGGCCAGCCAAGGGTGGGAATACATGAGGAAGCCTCCAGGATGGGGAAATGCATGTGAGAACGGTAGCAAAGTGTTAGTCTTTTAACTGGCCTGGGGCTGCACTGCTGCAAAACGTTGGCAGCAGAGTCTGATGTGCTCACACAGTTTGCCTCGCAGTTCAAGGAGGATTTTCAACCCTGGCTTTCTGTACAATGAGCAAGAGAAGAGCTGAGGTCTGCCTGCTGCTGCAGGCTCCTGGAGGCAGTCCAAGTTTAAAGCTGTGGAAAGGATGGCTCCTTCTTTCACTGCTACGTTACAAATACAGCTGCTGCCCGGTCTGGCAGCCTCCTCCCTGGCTTTGTTCACATTTGAGCTTGTGAGCACAGCATGGACTGCACACGCAAGATACCTTCAGTCCCTGGTTGCTGAATGTTGAATGTGCCTGTCCTCGAGGGTGATAGAAACTTTTAAAATTAATAGAATAGGCTCATTCGTTACATTAAAATAACATAATTAATACTTCAGAACACAATGAAATAGTATTACTGATTCTGTTAGTTTCAATATCTGTAAATGGCTTTTAAATCTGATGTAACTGTAAGCTTGTTAGCATCACTCTTGTGATAGTTATTAATGTATAAGCTTGCCCTTAAGATTAGTAGCTAATTAATTTGAAATGATGACTGGTTGTACTGTCTATTGGACACTGCCAAGAATATGTGTTTGTGGGTACAAAACATACCTGGTGCAGAATGCTCTGAAGGGTGAGAGCACCTGCATGGCTGCCTGTGAAGCTTTCCTAGGCAGAGTGAGGCCATTCTGCAAGCACCTCAGGGAGCTGAGAACAGGATGCTGAGTCTCCCAGGACTCTAGCAGAATGCCCAGGTATCATCAAGAATATGCTAAATTTGATTTTTAGCACGTTGTGTTATATTAATTCTGTCACTGGAGTAGAGCCCTCCCAAATGTATGCAGGCTTTTGAAGCACAAAAATTATCCACTTCTCTTCAGACCAGGCTACCAAAACACTCTTAGTACTCTTAGACATCACAGCAGGGTGTCACAGGAATGGGAATCTCCAAGGTGATTAGAGGAGCTTAAGCCACCAGTCTGCAGAATGGCACCTTGCATTTCCAAATGTGACAAGATCTGTGAAGGTCCAGGCCTTGTGTGTGTGCTCTGGTATGGTCTTGGACTCAGCCTTGAAAGAGCTCCAACTCCTGCAAATGCATTGCTCTATGGTGCCTTAAGCCTTTTAGTACAGCAGAGGCCGAGTGTGCCTGGGCCTTCATCCTATGGCTTTGAGAGTGCTTTAGAGATGCTCAGCAAAGGCTGAGTACCTCCAAGGTAAGGTTTAAGACAATAAAATTAATTATCTCATTAGTTATGTTGAATCTGTAATCTGATCTTGTAAGAGTTGTCATTGACTGAAGTTGCAAGGAGAAAACAGTAACCTATGATTTTGGTACAGAAATTAATCCCTCTTCAATGCAATGGAGTTGAACAGTGGGTGCAAATTAAGGAAAAAGACCATAGCAGAGCTATGCAAGTCTTCTAGGGTTTGTTTTATGGGGATATTGCAATGACACAACTAAAATGTGTGTAGACTGTACAGGTCTTGTAGGATCAAAGTCCAGTGGCAGAGTCTGTGGAACTGACAGTGGTTGGTTTTTTTCTATATTACATGGCAGTGTTTCTAAAGCAGCTGGTGAGAGACCCTCTGATCTTGTAAGAGTCTGTCATGGAATTAAATGAGCAGTGTCCAATCCAGGAAAATTTATCCTGTGTGAGACTACCTGTGCTTCCTACTCTCTATGTAGTGCATGACTCTTACAACACCGCACCCTCCACCCCGATCCAGACAAGCAGTGCTGAGGGTTCAGGCCACCTTGATTAGTTTAGCTGCCTGAATAGCCAGTGCCTTTAATATAAATAATATAAGGAATATAAGAAAAAGGGACAGATAAAATAATGCAGTATCTATTTGCTTGTTGTCTCCACATCCTCCATGCCCAAGAAAAACTGTTTGATGTATAAATGGCAAATAAATTCTTGGTTCAGTCTAAATAAACCAAGCAACCCCCTGCCCCCCCATCCAATATATCTTGGTATTCTTTTTCTCTATCTTCCTTCTTCCCCATTTTCTACTTAAACCCTGTAAGCAATGTGTCTCCCTAAAATATATATATAGACATTTGTCTGCTCCCTCTCCTTTTCCATTTGTCAGTTAGATAAAATAATTTAATTATTTAAAGCATTCTTAAAAAATGCTCTCAGCCTGATGGATATTTTTTTCCTCCTCCAAGTCTTTTCAGGTGTCAGATGTCTGGTATAGATGTACAGTGAATTATATACAGTGTTCTAGCTGTGGGCTCTGCAATTCAAAATTGGAAAAGACTCTTGATTTTTCAGTCCATATAACTTATCTCTCTGCTGAGGTTAAAAGTATTTTGGAACATTTTGGTAGTGGGTTGCACTCTGACGTGATATCAAGCACTTTAAATATAGATAGTACTTCCATGGGGCTAATCTCATAAGCTGAAACCAATCCTGAATCAAATCTCTGCAGGGAAGAATTTCAGCAGGTAGACTGTTTACTGATGAAGAGCACCAAAAAAGCCCACTACTGAAGAAGAGAGTTATTTTGCTTGGAAAATCAGTTTGGCTTGGAGAGAAAGTGACAGAAGATAAAGATTCTGTAACGAATGGGAGAATGGAGAAGTTGGTAATAATGAATATGAATTAGAAGGCAGCCTATTGCTGACAAAGGATAAGTTAGATAGACCAAAGGACCAGTATATGGTCTAGAGCCTTGCAGGCCAAAGCAGTGCATTTTTGAAACACGGAAGAAAGAAGAGAGATTATACCAAAATGAATAGACAGAAATTATGGGAATCAGCTAAAAAAAAAAAGAAAAAAAAAAAGAAAAAAAAAAAAAAAGGCAGGAATGGCCAATATTATATTTTATATTTGGGAAAAAGCAGGAAACTATTAATATGTTAATTGTGTAACAAATCCATTCCACTCCAGCAGGGCTCAGGGGAGTGTTGAGTCACATCTGCTAAAGCTTTTATATCAGTTTTCATACCCAGCAAACTCAGTTTGGACAGGGCTGATAAAGCAGCTCTCAATACAAACAGTGATTGCTCCTCATCTTTGAAACGCTGGTCAAGATCCAGGTGTCTGATGTTATGGAAATTTAGGCCTATCCATTTATCACTAT